TGCAGGAGGGGATCGTTTGTGGTAGCAGGGAACAGAAACCAATAACCCGAGAGGTTCCCTCTACTCTGACGTTTTGCTGTTTATCACGAGTTAAATTCTTCCTGTAAGGCTCAGATGTGTTTTGACAGGTACAAAGGGATACCAGGAACACAACATCCCGAACAACCTTTGAGTAAGGTGGGTGCTTGGTGGTACTTAGGGTTATGTAGCTTAGCACAGCCCCGCAAAACACCTTTTCAGCGTTACCGGCTGATAATTATGTGCACAAAAAGGTATGAGATTTACTGAAGAACGATGGAAAAGGGTGCATGGTAACTTGTGAATTTTTTTAGGTGCGTTACTGTGAAGAGGTGCAGGACTGGCTTTAAAGAAAAGCGTATTGAATTTGTCATGCTGGCATGGGAACGTTTTGGAAGATGAAAATATCTTTCTTGCCGATGCTGGGGGAGGCGAGGCTTTCCTGGAGGGTCTCGCTGGGTGGCACAGCACCGGACATCTCTGCCCCACGCACCGTACGCACGCTCGCTGCAGCAAAGCAGGGTCCGTGCGTGCCGAAGCGTCTGTGCTCTGCTCCGAGGTCTGGTCTGGGGTGATGGAGCGACACCGTCCAGCAGACCCCATTTCTGATCTCTAGTTTGCATTGATCTTACGTTTAGACACGCAGTCAGAAGAACAGACCCTCCCTTTTCCAGTGCCTTTGGAAAGATCGCAGCTTCGTAGAATGAGTCCTTTCTCCTCCACCCTTAATCTACAACCCAGCTTTCCGGGGAGATCCTACTTTGAGCTAAGATCTTCGGCCCACCAGCTGAGCTTGCATTCTTCTTTACAGTCCCTGAATTCAGCCGGTGAGCCGAGTGCCTCTGGCATTTCTTCTTGGTCTGTGCTTCTGGGCATCTCCAAAGTATTTGTTTGTTTTGTTCCGTTGTGTTTGTTTTTCCCATGACATGCGGATGGTAGGGGGAACTCCTTCTGTTTGTCAGTGGCCTGCTCCTGCCGTGGAGGCACTCTCTGCGGTGAAGTTCTCGTGGTGTGTTCATCTCTACGTACCAGCATGGGCAGTTTGAGGCGTGGGGTGACGGAGCAGCGCAGTAACTCCTTCCATGGGTGCTGTTCTTGGCAGTGCTGGCATGGCTGAACCGTTTTGCCCGGCCAACCAGCAGAGCAGATCCCTCATCTCCAGTTTGCACTGATCTTGTGTCTAGGGGCAGGCAGAAGAACAGACCCTCCCTGGGAGAAACCTGCGGGGACACCTCGGTGGTTCGCTTTCCCTGTACAGCCAGAAAACGCAGCCTCTGCTGAGATGCGTCCCGTGAAATTAGTTTGCTCCATTAAATCTAGACCCCTCTTAAGAAAGAAGCAAGTCTAGATGCAAGCGAGGTCTGCTAAGCTCACGGACCCCGTGCGCTTCTGGCTCCTTAAGGCCCTGAAGACGTGGGCTCTCGCCCACTCGGCTTTTACAAAACCAGCCGTGATCGTATCGAAGTCTTGTTTTCTGCAGAGCAGAGGAAACCACTCCCGTGACACCTCGCTCATCTCCAGCACCCCCAAGCCCTTTGCTCACCTCCCTGCACCCGGTCCTGGTGGGCCATGGTGGGACGTAGGCAGGACAGGCAGAACGAGGGATGGTGCCAGGCAGCCGGCGACGGAGCCGCAGGCACAGTGCATCTCTCAGAGCTGTTTTCTAACCGGTCTTTGCACATCTTCCCGCGCTAAAGATCCTGGGCCCTGATTCTTCCGCCACTCCGGATTTACACCACTCCAATGGAGTAATTGACGGCTTCCTCTGGTGTAAGCCCAGGAAGAATGGGGGCCCCCGATTGTTTGATTTCCATCCCATAACCCGGAATGAGGAATGCTGCAGCATGACCTTTGCCAGAATAACCAGAGGCCCTGCAACTTTCTTTTCTTTGTGCTTTTTATGTGTTTTTTTTTTTTTTCCTCATCGTACCGCTGTGCACTAATGGCTTCAACTCTGTTTTGTTACGGACGTTTCTTCCTTTGTGTCCCGTGTAGCGGGTCCGCCGCGATGGCCGCGAGCGATACTTGTGTGTGCAGTACGGAGCTCCGCAGCTGCGGGCTGGGGTGGTGGGACTGGGCGAACCGGGATCCGGAATGTGCCCGCCTGTGTCCGTGCTGTTTCGTGCTCGGGTGAAGCTGTATCGCAGTGATGCACTGAGACCTCGAAATCCACTCTTGGAACAGGGGCGCGGGGTGTGATTCATTAAAACAGCCTCAGGAGGTGCCGCTTGGCGCTCGCCGGCGGCACGGCACGGAGAGCAACTGCAGCCGGGTGCTTTCCCACCAAACACGCACGTCGGCAGGGTGAGAAGCCTCCTTCCCTGCCAGAGGAGAGGTGGAAACCAGTACACATTGCTAGACAGAGATTTCCTTAAAATACAGCACCCTTCATGGATGCCCTTCCCTGTAGTGCCCACTCAGGTCTTCATGTTGCCCTCTCCTCCTGGCAAGGACAAGCTCCTGGATCAGGACAAGCTCCTGGATCAGTCCCCAGCTGCAGTCCAGCTCCCGGGAGGTGTTTGCAGGGGACAAAGGGCACCCTGACTCATCCTGCCCATGCAGCTGCAGATGAAGCTACAGCCCGGTGCCCTTTGGGTGCCAGGGGTGTGAGGCCAAGCACCTGCCCCAGGGACCCCTTCTCCTGCTCCGCTTCTGCCCAGACCACACACGTGGCCAGGAGGCAGCCCGGAGAGCTTGGTGGGCACCATTCCCTGGGCACACCGATGGCTGCTCTGTCCTCCAAGGAGCATCTGGGTTTTTTAAGTGATTCAACTGAGGGTCAGTCTAGCGAATACGTACCAAGCAGCCAAGGGATTCTGCCAAGGCTAAAATTCCCAGCCCCTTATCTGGAAGGAAGTCCAATGATTTGGCATCCCAAGCAGGTAGCGACCAGACTTGGTGCTCTTGATCTGGCAAGGAAAGAGCAGGTACTCCACACTTCCCAGAGGCGATGCTTGCCAAAACGGCTGACGGTCCGTGCTCGAACTCCTGGGTCGTATTTGCAACCCCTCTCCGTGCTCTTTGGCTTTTAATGAATCAGACCTCCCGTGGCCGGCTGGATGCTTAATGGTTAAATCTCACGAGTGTGTTTCAAGCGGTTGTTGTTTCTCAGCTGTGATGTGTGAAATGTAGTATCTCTTTATAGGATGCAATTTTGAGACACAAGGAACGCCTTACTCTCAATTAGGCAAGTATATCTATTACCATTAACTGGCACCTCCTCTGTGTTGCTGACCCTTTTTTCTTTTTTTTCTTTTTTTTTTTTTTAAATCTTTAACTTTTCTTTGGCGAGTGAGCGGCATTTCTTACGCCCTACTTTGCTTGCAGAACGCTCTCGGATGTCGTGGCAGCAGGCAAAGTCAGAGGAGGAACGGTGATTGCCGTAGGATACGAACACTTTTAAGTTTTCCTCCGTATGGTTTTAAGGAGAACCTGAAGCCCGTGCTCTGGAAGCGATCCCCCTGCTCAGAGCAATACGTATTCCAGTTCATTGAGGGCGCCTGATCACGGGCCAGATGCCAAGGGGGGTGATTAGCCCCTTCGAGGCTAATTGGAGCGAGCGCTGGTTGCAGCTGGGTGCTCAGCAGCCTGCAGGATCAGGCCCATTCCTTCCCTAGGGAGAAGGAGCCCCATGGCCAGCCCAGTGGAATTCCCTCCTCGGGAAGCTCGAGCCCACCCTCGCCCCATCTTTCCCCACCTTTACGCAAAACCCCGAAGGGTCCGTGCGCTCGCTGGAGCAGCAAGCGAGCAGAAATTGTTTCTCGTTCCTTTCTTTGCCCGAGTTCACGTGCCGTTTTCTCTCCCGCATGCCTTTCCCTGGGAATAACCACAGTTGACATTAAAATGGAATTCCCTCCTCGGGAAGCTCGAGCCCACCCTCGCCCCATCTTTCCCCACCTTTACGCAAAACCCCGAAGGGTCCGTGCGCTCGCTGGAGCAGCAAGCGAGCAGAAATTGTTTCTCGTTCCTTTCTTTGCCCGAGTTCACGTGCCGTTTTCTCTCCCGCATGCCTTTCCCTGGGAATAACCACAGTTGACATTAAAAAAAGGGTGGCAGGTACGGAATCCCCTCGGTCGAGCTGCGAAGCCGGGGCACCCGCGTGCATGTCAGCTGCCTTGTGAAACGATCCAATAAATCGATGAAGAAATCTCACCCGAGTGTTTCGTTTTTCGAGCCGTGTTCACTCCTGCCGGCGCGAGAGTGTTTTGTGGATGTGTCAGTTCGCGTTTCGGGGACCGCTGGAGAAAACCACCTGGGGAACCGGGCTGGTGGCTTGTGAAAACCCCGTTGCCTCTGTCTTGTCCAGGACGTGATGCTGTATCTGTCTGATTTTTCCGTAACCGAGTCCCATGCGTTTAAACCAGCAGCTGTACCGAGTCGTGGGAGTTTCCAGGCGTTTTCCAGCCTTCCCATGAGCTTGCTCTTGTCTTACGTGTGGCCGGTTGCTCCGCAGGGAGGTTTCTCATCTCTGTCAATGTAGACCATCGTACCTGCTTTTGGTTCCCAGCACTGCCGGCCCTCAGATACTCCCGCAGAGTTTATCCGTGGATCCTTAGAGTCCCATTCCCATGCTGGGTCTGACCCTCAAACCTACTTGCATGAGGAACCCCCCGGTCGTAGAGTAAGTTACGTTAGCTAGAGCCTGGAGACCTGGCCGGGATCACACGTCTCCTTCTGCTAGGGCCAAGTTTTAGGGGACAGTGAGGATCCAGTGGGCTCAGTAGCTGAGATAGATGGACAGTGGGACGGGATGGAGACAGACAGGCACTGGGGAGCAGCCAGAGCAAAACTCATCCCAATCCCGGGACGAGGCGGGACTCATCTCCCTCCCTGATGGAAGATGCCCGCCGTGAGCCAGAAGCCCCCTCCGCCGTGCCGCTCCCCGCATGCCGCATGCGCTGTTGCGTGTCCGCTGCCCGTGGCTTGGTCGCCGAGGGCTGCGCTCCCGCCAGACTAACCCAGTGTCGTTTGTGTTGTTCCAGTTGCTTGGTTTTCTTTCGATCCTGCCTCTGCCCACGCTGACATCATCTTTTCTAATGACAACCTGACTGTCACCTGCAACAGCTATGATGACAGGGTTGTGCTGGGGAAAACGGGCTTTTCCAAAGGGCTCCATTACTGGGAGCTGTCAATCGATCGTTACGATAACCACCCTGACCCGGCCTTTGGCGTGGCACGCATTGATGTCCTGAAGGATGCCATGCTGGGCAAGGACGACAAGGCCTGGGCCATGTACGTGGACAATAACCGGAGCTGGTTCATGCACAACAATTCCCACACCAACAGGTAGGCGGTCTGGAACAGGGTCTTCCTCCCAGAGACCACAGCCCGAGCTCAGCCCCCAGTAAGAGCCTATGGCTTTTCCAGTGGCACTGACGGGTGCCCGTGGGCAGGGTGACATCTCTCCTCATCACCGCTCTTAGAGGACGTGCCCCTGCCTGAAGGGAAGGACAGTCCCTGCCTCCCTGGTTCTGCCTTGCTCCGATATTCCTGCCCTGCCTGCTGCGACTCTCCGTGCCAGCTGTCCCCCCGAGCACGCACGGCACTGCTCCTGTGCTGCAGCCCCTTCCCATTAACACCCAAGGCTTTGCAGCTCTCCCAGTGGGAAGACAGCGTTTGCCTTCATCCCTGTGCCACAGCTATCGCTCGCTTTCCCCAGGGAACAGTGGGGCTGGAGGCTCTGAAGCTTGCGGTAGCTTGGGGAGAGCCTGGTGTCACCTTCCCGCAGCCTGGAGGGCTGTTCCCTGATGGGTCAGCAGGTTTTGAAGTGTGCCCTGAAGCTTTGCTCCCCAGATCCACTTGCGTTCCCCCATGGTTGTGTTGCTGTGGCTGCTCTAGTAGGTAGCTTTGCCCTCGGGGACATCATGGCAAGCGGAGAGCACCTCTGCAAGAGGCTTGAGGAAGATGCCCAGGGACTTGGGAGCGTGGCTGGGATGGGCACAGGTCACAGCATGGCTCCTGGGTGGGCTGTGAAGTTCAGCATCGTCAGCCCTTGAGGTCCAGGGCCTGAACCCTGTGCTGGGAGCATGAGGGACATTAAGCCACAGAGATGCTCTGATCTTCTTCTCACCCCTGCAGAACCGAGGGTGGGATAACGAAAGGTGCCACAGTGGGAGTGCTGCTGGATTTGACCAGGAGGACCTTGACGTTCTCCATCAACGAGGACCAGCAAGGGCCTGTCGCCTTCGAGAACCTGGAGGGCCTCTTCTTCCCCGCGGTCAGCCTCAACAGAAACGTGCAGGTACGTGCTTTGACGGTGCTCTGGAGCACCACAGCAGCAAGCCCTGCGGCTGAGCCGGCAGGCAGACCCCGTTTCACGCCGCTGTCACTGCGGTGTGTGTCAGTGCTCAGCAGCATGGGGACTTTGTGGAGCGGGGAGGGCTCTCGTGCAAGGGGCAAGGCTTGGAAAGAGCTAAACTTACACTTGAAACCACCTGTGAGTCTCCAAAATCAGGACAGGCCTTTCCGCAGCCACAGCTCCTGCCTCTGGCTCCTCACTCCAGGTTTCTCCATCAGGGCTGGTGAAGAACCGAGGTTCTCCAGCCCTCCCTGGTTGATGGGGTTTGACAACTCCACACCGTAGGACTGTCCCACAAGAGCCTCACCAGCTCTTACAGCTCTCCCAGGACCCAGATAGGCAGATAGGAGCATTTCCAGGGAGAAGGGCACCTGTTTTCCTCTGGGGAGTTTCAAAGCCCTCTTCTTTCCCTCTCTCCCAAGCTCTCAGCTCTCCTGACCATCACCAAGCCGTGGCTCCCTGGGCCCATCCGGTATTTTCATCTTTCCTTTTACTTCTCACTGATCACATCCCTGCTATCATCTTCCCCAACGAGTGCTCCACGTTCACCGAGCCCAGCTTGGGCACGTCCGCTCTACCACCGCTCACACCTCCAACACTGCACAAGGCCCATCACGTGATGGATGACCTCAGAGTGTCGAGCACTTTGGCATGGTCTTCTGCACCAGATGTCAAAGGCATCAACCTCTCTGCAAGGGCAGAGGCACCTCTGTAAATTAGGGACCCATGGATCAGGGCGTGCTCTGTTTTGTCCATCAGGGTGTCCTGCACTGTCACCAAGGCAGTGACACTTCTCCAGCAGCGCTGAGGCAGAGGTTGGTCGGTACCATCCCAAACTCTGGGAGCATCCCTACCAGAGTGTCCCACCCCAAGGGCCCTGCAGGGAGGGAAGTCTTGGCCTTGGGGAGTCCCCGGCTTGGGGAACGTGCAACGTGCCGGGGCTGTGCCAGTGTTTAATTAGGAAATATTAAAAAAGTCCGTCCTGCTCGAATGGGTTTCATTCCCACCACCGTCCTCCAAAGCAGCCCGAAGGGGCGAGCGCGTTTCCAGCCCCCCTCTGCTTTCTGCCCATCCTCTGGGCAAGGCAGAGCTTAAATCCCACAACGACAGAGGGGTCCCATGGGACGCCGATGAAAGGCTGCTAATAAACCCAAGCTTTTCATTATCCATCTTCAAAGGTGCACGAGTAATGAAAAATGACTCTAATTAGGAGGGAAATAATTGTATTTTAGACAAAGTTTTCTATAAATCTGTATCTGAAGGGGAAAACGCTGCTATTCCAATAAAAGAAGGAACATTGCTTTGCTGCCAGTTAAAGCATTTGTGGAAGGAACTGGGTGACCTGTGCACAGCTCCTCGGCACGTCCGTGGCCCCGTGCCCAGTCAGTCCGTACAAGCGGAGCGTGCCCGTATCCCTGCCTGCGGATCGGGGTTTTCCCAGACACTCTGAGCACCAGGTCTCCTTCACTTTCCCTTTGTCCCTGCGTTAGTCTCTGCCATGTTGCTCCTCATCCCCGGATGGTGCCGGGCTGTGTGTAGCTCCCATTTTTGCACTGGAGTGTCCCCCCCACACCATAGCACAACCCTGCCCGAGCACCCCGCTGCTGCTCAGCTTCCCCCAACAAAGGTCCTTCCTCCCACCAGCAACCACATCCCCTCCACTGTACGGCCCATGCTTGCCTCGGGGGCTTCTTGGGGTCTCCTGTACAGAGCACCTTCACTGTCCTTCAGCCCCCTCCATACCCTTTTGTCCATCCCATCTGCAGAGAGACCCAACCACTGCCGTGTCCCATCTCTCCAGCAGCCAGCTGTTGGATCCATCTGCAGTCAGCTGGGAAGATCTGGAGCTCGAGACCACTGGTACCGCCCTAATCTGGGGTTGTGTAGGGGCTCCTGCAGCGCAAAC